GGATATAAGAATCAGGCCGTTTCATTATTTTCTTCTGCAACAACAAACAATGGATACAATTCCTGATTTATTTGCTAAGTAATCGGAGCACGTAGGTAGTTGCCGCGATTCAGAAAAACATCTGGACTAAGGTATTTCAAAAATACTCGTGTATTAGTAATTCAAAATGATCTATGTGAGAACCAGACACTATCCCACTATTTTAGATTTCATCTTCACTATGTCGTAGTACACGACTTTTCTTAAGCGACGTGACTTCACAGACCGACGATTACGCAAATAAACAAATATTAAATAGAAACGGGAGAATCTTGTCATTGAACTCAATAGGGCTTAGGACCACATTTACGAATGGGGTACCAGGAACTTGGTTAAGTTCAATGCCAAGAAAACTCAGGCTTGCGCTTTCACGGTAAAAACATCGCCACTCCTTCCCCTTCCCTCTCTTCAGGGCATAATACTGGCGCTACAGAGCAACATTACCATGCTCGGTATGGAAGTTCGCTCAGACATGAATCCAAAGAACTACATCGAAACCGTGGTCAAAACAGTTTCACGCTAACTCGGAGTCCAGAACAAGGTGCGGCGTTTTTTCACGCTCGACCAACTGTGCTTGTTGTACAAAACGCAAGTCCGGTCCTGCGTAATATTGCTCACACCTCTGGGATGGCTCCGCCAAGTACTTGCTCGATGCTTTGGATAGATTACAGCGGCACGCGGTCCGCATCATAGGCGATGAGAAGGTGACTAAACACCTCGAGCCTCTTCAATTACGCCGTGACGTGGCGTCACTAAGCGCGTTCTATCGTCTGTACCACGGCGAGTGTTCTGAGGAGTTATTCTCTCTTATTCCACCTTCCCCTTTCCTTCAGAGGACCACGCGCGCTGGCCTACGTTGTCACCATCTAACTATGGCCACAATTCCAACGCGTACAAAGAGGTGACTCATTTCTTTCTCGCACTATCCGTAAATGGAATGTTCTGCCCGCTCACGTGTTCCTCCCTCTTACAACCTGGGATCCTTTAAAAGAGGCGTGAAGAAGCAACATGCATGCCGAAAGGGTGAGGATATATGGTGTGGCAGGAAGAACTGCTGTATCTATAAAAAAAATAAGTCTACAGTGATGTCGATTCTGTCATGATTCTCTAAAGCTAAACTTAAATTTGACAACAGTGCATCCCTGTCATTCTCTATACAGAATGAAAAGGAAAGACTGATGTTAAATTTAGTTTTAAGTTTAGAGACTCACGCTAGAATCGACACCAATAGGTATATATATATGAAATGAATGAATGGATATCTTATGAAATGATAGGTACAGGTCGCGGCACGTAACTCTAGCCCTGAACAAAACGCGGAGAGGATAGCTGCACATGGGTACGGACTGGAGAGCCAATTGGCGCAACGCACATGAAACTAGAAACATGTGGATAAATATTATAAATATGAAAACAGTGACCAGAGGCGACGAGCGTGCCAACATTGTTTTTGACAACGTAATCATCTTATGGAGCTCCGTGGATCGTTCGAAGTACCTTTCGAACAGATGTCTAATAATGGTTAATAATCCACCATTATTTTTGTAACACCATAGTATTAAATATCATCACGCCGCCCGTTACTAGATGGCGCTGTACGCATGTGAATCGCGCTATCCTATACCGACACCGATTGTATGGCACATCATAGGATCAAATATCATCACGCCGACCGCTACTAGATGGCGCTGTACGCATGTGAATCGTGCTATACTATACTGACACCACTTGTATAAGGTGTTCTTGGGAAATTGACCTAGTCATCGCTTCGTAGGTAGGGCCTAATGTCTTGCACGCTATACGCTTCCACCACGTGGCACGTCTTAGTGTCGTGATAATAGTATACATGTACTTCCACCCTTCTGGGATACAGTAATCAGTGTTGCCAACTCGGATTTTGAAAAAGACGTAGACCCGATGAGAAAATTACGTAGAATTGGTATATTTTGCATATGAAAAGTAAGTAGATCTACGTACTTTTTTCTGAGTGAAATGAAGAAGTTATTTGAAACCGAATAAAACGAGTATTTTGTTATACAATTTGTTTAAGAACGGGAGATAGAACAAATAGTTCTTGGAGAAGTCGCTGCATTGGAAATTTGGAAGCATTTACCATGCTGTGGTAAACATTTACCATCAGACACAGACACTGGTGGGTGCCGATTCTGGATGGTTCTCTAAATTTAAAACTTAATTTAACATCAGTCTCTCCTTTTCATTCTGTATAGAGAATGACAAGGATAAACTGTTGTTAAATGGGCTAGTTGACACTTTTTGGAATTATGTTTTAAATTGTTAATAATTGTTCTATCAGAACGAAAAAACCTAGAAAACACACAAAAACGCTCTTTAGTCTATAGACTTATCTATGCTATGACGACAAAACATTTGTAAACAAACACTCGCAAGCACGTAGGAAATAAACAGCTAAGTTAATATTATAAAACCATGATTTCTAATAGATCACATGAAAAATATAGTAGTTATCATGATACACTTGGTAAAAGACTCTAGAAAAGTTGTGGTTTAAATTGCCAAGAGAAAAAACATACTTACACATGAACATATGCTTAAAACTTGCTAAATCCTGTAACTTTATCGACTGAAAGTCTTTTCTTTTTGCAAAGATCAATTCGATGTGAGTAGGTACTCATAGATAGTAGTAAAAGTTTAAAAATACAATTTTTAAGGTTATGAATGTACCTACTAAGTCAAAGAGTTTTGTCGTTTCTGCTTTCACAAATCCTGCGTCCAGCATTAATTTAGTCAACAAAACCAATAACGGGAACCTTTTCTACAAGATACAAGAGTGTTTAGATACATCTTTATAAGAAATAAACATTTGTATAGTTTTTAAGTAAAGTAACGGAAAATATTCTTCTTTATTCTAGTGAATTACGTTATTTTACAAATTTGAAAAAAAATAAGAAAATACGTAGATTCTGGGACTGAAGTTAGTAGGTTTCCAGAAAAGGCCTAAAATACGTAGATCTACGTAAAAAGACGTAGAGTTGGCAACACTGACAGTAATACCATTTCTCCTACAAATATTGAATAGTAATCACACACAATATAAGTATTTTCTACCTACGCCTATCTTTATTTGACGTCAGTCATCTCACACTCCCCCTTCGCCCTCCCGCACATTCTTACAGTTTTATTAAATAATAAATATTATAAATATGAAAACAGTGATCAGAGGCGACGAGCGTCCCAACATGTGCGACTAAGAGATCCTTTTACTATTTTGTTGGAAGCTTTTTTTCGAGACTTACGAGTAATGTGCGGTTTAGCGGCCGACTTCTTGGTGTTACTTTTCTGTTACAGTGTTGCGCGCGCATCTTAAAATTTCACTCTCATCATTTTTTCATAACGCGCCCGCGGCTAACTTCGTTATGTCACTTTCGTGTTACAGTGATGCGCGCGCATCTTAAAATTTCACTCTCATAATTTTTTCATAACGCGGCTAAAGAAGTATAACTTCAACAAAAATAAATAATATTGCGGAAAAAACTTAAAAAAAAAATAAGAACAATTAACTTACATCACTACTACGTAACTGATACTGTTACTCCGTGATCATGGCGCTTGCAACAGTGCTGAAATATCGGAAACTCGCTAAAACAAGGTCGGTGAGTTTGGTTCCAGTACCCCATTTAGCACCCCCTAGCACTCAATGTCATTTTGTATGGAAACTTGAACAGCAGCGCCACAAATTACGTAACGAGAACTTAAAACTTACACATTTGACAATGACATGTCGGACTCGCAAACTTTACGAATTCGATATTGGTTCGTGTTAAGGGTACGGGATAACGTCTATAGCCTATTGTGGCCGCTTACCACCAATGCTTATTGGTATACATAATAAAACGCGTAAGCGTCGTGGAACACTCAGTTGGAACGAATTTAAAAATATTATATTATACACTACACCCACCCACAATTATCCGCACTGGGCCCGCGTGCCGTGTCATTGCCCAATCCATTAAAAAAAGTGTCCTACCAACCAATCCGCACTAGGCCCAGAGCGGATTGGGCCTGCTCTAGCCATCTCAATATCTTACCATTTCATCTCCCTATTACAAACGATTACAGTTTTCATTAAGTTTTCGTTTCATTTCATACTAACACTCAAATCAAATCAAACGTGATTCAAGCAACGAAACGCTATAAGAGCCAAATCGACAATCCCATTTTTTAAATAAGTACATTATATTATTTAATAACTTATCCAGTTACATTTATATTTGTAGTGTTATCTACCTCACAGAAGCTAATCGAAAAAGCTAACTCGATACATTTAGTGTCAAACACTCCAAGAGACATAATAATTAATAACTAGCAAACCAGTGAACCAAATGTTCACCAAAACCTGATTTCTCGAAAACCGGAAGTGCTACGTTACTCAAATCCGGTTTGTAGTCTTATCAGACTATTCTTAACTTATAACTTAAATATTCTCTTTATCTATCTCTTACGGTTTGGCCGCTGAAACAGCACCACAGACAAACGGACTTGTCTAATAGATAAGAGATACATGGCGGGATTTCATCGAGTGCGGTAGGTGTCTTATTTTAATAATTCTTAAATTCGTTCATAGTGGATATTGTGAAATAAAATTCGTGTGATTTTGAGTTACAAATATCTGCGCAAATGAAGAATTAGTGGAATCTTTAAAATATACGCTATTCCGGTCAAGTGAATGTGAGAACTTTATTGTAGTGTTGACTACCTCACAGAAACTTATCGAAAAAGCCAACTCGATACATTTCGTGCCAAACACTCCAAGAAACATTAGAATGTGTCACACAAACATTTTAATATAAAAAAAGAAGATTAATATAACTGAAGACCAGGCTGTATGGGCATTGTTCCCTTTGCCTTCTCTAAAACGGGAGAATTTAAAAAAAAGTCAAATATTGTTTATCAGTGACAGCTATTTTGTATTTGTTTTTTTAATAATAGAATTTTCTATGAAATAATACTGAAATTGTTTTATTAGGCAATAATGTCGGATAAGGAAGATGGTTACTGCCGGCTATGCGCTGAACCAACATCGTTTAATCAGCTAATTTCGTCGGAAGGCGACGTCGGTGTGAACTCCAAGATCGCAACAAAAATGCAATGGATAAATGTGGATATCTCTTCAGATTTATTACCAATGACGATTTGCTTTTCATGTTTCGACTTACTCGAGCGTACGTGGTCGTTTTTGAATAATGTGCGAACTGCACAAGAGAAATTGTATAGCATATTTTCTAAGAAAGAAAACACGCCGCAGAACTGTGAAATCAAGCCAGAGAGCTCGGATGCTGACAATGCCGGTCAACCTGTCAACACTGATTGGGAGGACTTCCAAAGCCCTAAGCCTGAAGTGAAGGATGAATCGCCTATAGACAATTTGCAGGTCATAACTGTTGACCCAAATACTCTTATAGATGTAGACTATAATATTGTTAAAACGGAAAACGCCTATTCCGATATAGACTTCAACAATGACGGCTTCGATTCCACTGACAGTGATTTACCATTAGGACTAGCAGTAAAGAAGAAAAAACTTAAAAAGAAGAGGCGCACTATCACCGAAATCCAAGAAACCGACGATAGTTTAAATGTAAAACCTCTGACTTGGGATGACTATATGTGCCGCTGTGCCAGCTGCGATGCGCAATGTAAGAACCTAACATCATTACGACTCCACTCCATACAGATACATTCCTGTTGTTGTGCCTTCAAATGTTCAGATTGCAGTAAAGTGATACATAATTTCCGTATGTTCGTCAACCATGTGCGTATGCATAACAAATTGTTGCGGTACTGCTGCGAAATCTGCAACAAAAGATTTACAAGATCAGCTTACATGAAAAAACACTGCAGTTTAGTTCATAAAGACACATATGTAACAACTTGTATCAATTGTGGTTTAGTGTTCGACACTCAAGAACAAATGCAAGAACATCTTTTAGTATATGCAAAGGGTATTAAAAAGCGTGCAATTAAACGTGAAAACTTGGATACTGACCTCAAATGTCAGCACTGCAATAAAGAATTTAAATCTAAAAGTAATCTACAGCAACACAAGCTAGTTCACACAAATCGCAGCAGAGATTTCTCCTGTCACGTTTGTGGCAAAATGTTCTTTACAAAAGGCACACTAAGCACTCATATGACGACACATGAAGACACAAAGCCTTTCAAATGTGACATTTGTTCAATGGCATTTCGGGCTCGTGGCAACCTGCAGTCACATATAAGCTTACACTCTGGAGCAAAACCATTTGTCTGCGAACAGTGTGGCAAGAGTTTTAGAGTGAAACGACACTTGAAATCACATTCCATAGTCCATACAGATCTCATGCCCTATGTATGTGAATACTGTAATAAGCAATTCCGCTTCAAAACACGTCTCAATCTTCATTTAAGACAACATACAGGTGCTAAACCGTACACATGCATATACTGTCAAAGAGACTTTACAAATGGTTCCAATTTCAAGAAACATATGAAACGGAGACATAATATTGATACTTCTAAGAAAAGAATTCATGTTGATACAAAAAATATAAAACGTAGTGATGATGTCTCCCAATCGCAGTCATGAGTAATATTCTTAACTGAAAGAAACTTTAATTTTAATGATTGTATATATTATGATATTATGGGTTAATTACACTTGGTCACTATCTCGAATACGATTGCCAATGAAATCTGGGTTAATGACTAAGTGTAAATGAACAGAGTCAAGTACGCCTGTATTTTTTGTATGTTGAAAATGCAGTTAATAACTTTTCAATACTAAGTTTTCTAATATAATTAATTTATTATATTGAGTTACTTTTCTTAATATACATCTCAAATTGTGTACAGTTTATTTATTCTTTGTAATGCACAGCTGAGAAAATATATAATTTTCTTTTCAGCCAAATAAAGACATATTGAACTAAGTATATTACTAAGATTTTTCTAGTTAGTGGTATTTCATTAACTGAAAATCATTTAAAGAGTATTACTTCAATATGCATACATATGAGTCCTATCAAAAGACAGTTTTAGTAACTTGTAAACAATGGACAGCTATAATCACTGTTTCTAACACAGAGCAACATTCTGTGGCCATTCTGAATGTTTAGTGTCGATGATTTGCATAAAATCAATGATAAACATAAAAGTTTCATTTGATGTCGGTTGTTATGAACGCGAAGTACTCTTATATTCTGCAATTAATTACAAAACTCTAATCAATTGCATTCGTAAGTAGGCACTTTAGACCAAGATTTTGATCTGTTTCTTTTATTTTATATTAATGTTAGCTTTTAGAAAGCGTTACCACAATACTAAACATGTACAATAATCTCAGGAGATAATTTTATGAGCTTTTATATCATATGACTTTGTTAGAATTCAAGATCAAATATCTTGGTTTCGATATTAGTTATAGAACTACTACTTTGCTAAGAACAATTCACATATTTAGTACTATCAAGCAATCATAACTGGTTCAATGGCCCCTGTAAAAAAAAATCAAGCCAACCTTCATACAAAATTACCCAATCCCCTTTTCCTTCTTTTTTATGTTAATGGTGGCAAACAGGCATAAAATATACCCCGCCTGATGAAAAGCAGCCACCATACCCTATAGACCCTTGCGGTCCTAAAGCTATGACTCGTGCCATTACTTAGCCTGACCCTATCCCCTACCCCTTGGAGCCGATTCAACGACAGAAACACAATACTACCAAAAGGTCAAAGAGTAATATAATATTGCTAAAAGTTGATAATTCCGCCGCTAGAGGCGTTAGTGTAGCGTGAGGTCTTCGAAATGTCTAATGTTATTACTTGTGGGTTGACTACGCGGGTTTATTTCTGATTAAAATAATGTTGTGAATATTTGGTAATAACTCTGCTTAATTATGGCAAATATGAATTACGTGACAATGAATGTCAGTTATTTAAAAGCGGAGCTAAGAAAAATTAGTATGTCGTGAAAAACGGAACTGCGCATCACTGTGGCTTGGCCGATTATGTTAAGGATATGGTTCTTTTGTATTAAAATATGATTTAAATGTAAACTTTGATTTCACGTGCACATTAATAAACTTCAAAAGTAACAATTCAGGACCTCCCTCAACAGTGACGCCATCTGCTGAGACAGAAAACGGTAGCCGTCATTCGAGCGGTAAACCCGCTATGCTCTACCTCTTTAGTGTAATTGTACCTATCTTAAGTTTATTTAAGTGTCGAAGCGAGATATTGGCCATACTTTGCAACGGCAGATCCTGGAAAGCGGTAGCCTATTTATGCAAAAAAGATATCCCAGAAGCAGCAGAGCGGACCAGCGAACCTACCTACTAGCTGAGAAAGCTTAAACGCCAACAGTGGGGACATTAATAGCCTCGAAAGACAGGTCCCTAAATCTCTTTCAAGCGGATTTTCTACTCGAATTGGAGCACCCATCTTAGAAATTATCGTCCACCCCACTGAAGACTAAAGTAACACTATGTTTAATGGTGTTGTGTTGAGTAATTTTCCAGAACTCCACTGGGTAGGTGATGAGGTCAGGGGAACAATGGCTGCACACGCGAAAAATTGTGACGTCATGTCACGTTATCATAACGTAACATGACGTCACGACATGAGTTAGTTCCACGTTCCACAGTGTGTGTGAGATTAGGTCTAGAGGTTCCTACCGACACCCCCAACCAGGGTTACCAACCCTTACCAAAATTTTACCCTAAGTATTTTTAAAATTCCCCTAAAATCCCCTAAATATAGAAATTTATATGTACCTACTTATCTTATTACCTAAATTCCTTCGTTGCTCATAAATTAAAACGTTACATATTTAGTTACAGTAAATTATTTTATTGAATAAATACATTTTCCGAATGGAAAATCAAACGAAAATGAACTGACAGGCTGTTAAATCTTATTTAGCTGTTTTGATTGGTGGAAGGCAAAGAACTTTAGTCCATACAGCCTTAGGAAACAATCTGCCACACAGTAAGTTCAGTCGTTTCATATCGTGGTGCGTTCCATTCTAGGCAAAAACTGAAAGAAAACACACGCTTTGTTTTTCGATTTAATTGCAAGTTTTGTTAAAAGCCCCTAAAAGAACCCCCAAAAAATTCCAGCCCCTTATAAAGTCCGTTTTAACCTCTCTAGCCCCTAAATCTGGGGGCAAAACCCCTAAGTTGGGAACCGTGCCCCCAACCCCCCTGAAACCTCTATACCCCTCCTCCTCGTAGAGTCCCTCAACCCCGCGGAACCTAACTCGGGCCCCCATAGAGCTACAGAGGCGTGCTTGGGCTCAAAAGAACCGGAACAAAAAGCCCCACAAACACGCCCCGAGGAAAACAGCTAACGGCACGCTATCACGTTAAATTATCGTCCGTAAGCCGACTTTACAGATAACTTTTTTTTTTTGTTAAAAGCAACGAGACAATTAAGTATGCAGAGAGAGTAGAGTAACCATGCTGTACGATGCAAATCAGCAGAGCGGGAGCGCTAATAAATTTTTGCCCACCCATCTAGTAGCAGTCCATCGCGAAATCTGCCTAACTTCGCCAAGCTCCCGTTATAAGTGCACTATAATGAGTACTCAGTTGACATTATTATTAGCAATTTAAACAAAAAGCCGGCGTGGCGCGACCGCCATTTTGTCTTCTCGTAGGACAATGGTAACTTTAGACGTGTTCCGCTCCAAATATCTCCATTGTTGATTCGTATGAGGCGACACGCGAGACAAGGGAGAGTATGATAGCTGCTTATTTACGTACTTACTGTGTTTAAACGAAAGTTTTTAAATATATAGAAAATATTACTAGAAAAAATCCACGTGGTCCAGACATCAATGGTGCTATTTTGTAAGAACAAAGTCACTTTCCACATCTGAATTCGCCGGTGTGATTTTAAATTTATTTGAAACTAGCTGTGCCCCGCGGTTTGTTAGGGATATTTTCCCTCAGTAAAACGTAGCCTATGTGTTAATCCAGGGTGTCAGCTAACTCCATACCAAATTTTATTAAAATCGCTCCAGCCGTTTAGACGTGAAGAAGTAACAAACATACACACTCACAAACTTTCGCCTTGATAATATTTGTGTGATTCGTCACTTTTCACGGCTGAATAAACCTCAATTTGTTTTTTATCTTCCACTATCCGGACGGACCCACTGACCAATAATTATTATGATAGACCCTAACGGCCGTGACGATTTTCTGCGATTAAGCTGCAGTTCGAATCCCGTCTGATGCCTGGACCGCGGGGAAATTCTATTAATATTATCTAAAGATTTATAAATCTAGTAGTTAAATGCTTATAAATATACTTAATAAGCAAAAATTTTTTAGTGCCTTTCATATTGCACTACGGCGACGGCGGGCGGCGTAATTGTAGTCCCTTCCCTGATACCTACCTCTAAAATCGTGATGGACCTCTTGACTCCTAGAGACGGGAGATGAGGAATCAAACACCAGTACACCTTATATACTAATTTTCCTAACTAATATTTATGTGCGTCAGCTATAAATCGTGAGCTGTGCGTGTTCTAGATTTAAAGTCCATGCTGACGCTACAACCTTCTTACCTTTTTTTTTGTGTCTGGGAAATGTCTTCAACCACTGGGGGAGTGAGAAGCAGGTATGTGGGACTCCTCCCTCTCCACTTCAGAAAACCCTGAGGCCGAATGAAGTGTACAGGGCCCTACCTACGCCCTGAACAGGGCCACTAGAACCCAGACAATATCCCTGCACCATGTCACCCGATCCTCATTGCTGGGACTGCGGTCCTAGTTCGTTCCGTGCGGTTCGGGAGTGCGGGTGGTGTTGCGGTATCCTGTAAAGACTGCCCGCACAACAACCTTTTTACCTAGGTAACTCCAGTGTCCATTAGAAAAGCCTTTTGTACTACAATCTGAGAGAGAAGTTCGATTGCGCAACTGGTTTGCGCGTCAGTTCTACAATCGTGGAACTTAAGCAACGTTGGCACTAGCCTCTCATCGGATGGGTGACCAATTTGTCTCAGGCTCCTCCGTGCTACGGAAGGCATGCTAAGCCGTTGGTCCCGGCTGCATCTTCACCTCTACTAATTCGCGACAGGCCCGCGTGGTAGGTATATATTTTTTAAGTGAAAACTTCTTTAGTGGCGTTGTACTGTTTTTTGGAAGGGTAAAAAATGTTAAACTCGCCTCAGGTTAAACACGTGGGCTGATCGCATCATGACACACATCATAATATAAGATTGGAAAGGTTGTTGACTTTCAATCATCATCATCATCATCATCAGCCTATTAATGTCCCCACTGCTGGGGCACAGGCCTTCCCTATGGATGGAATAGGGAGATTGGGCCATGACCCACCACGCGGGCCCAGTGCGGATTTGCGGGTTCTAACGACTGCAGATGCAGCCGGGACCAACGGCTTAACGTGCCTTCCGAAGCACGGAGGAACTCGAGATAGATGTTTTTGGTCACCCATCCAATGACCGACCACTGCGAAAGTTGCTTAACTTCAACCATTGCAGCCGAACGCGCTAACCACCTGCGCCATCGAGCTCCTGACTTTCAATATATAGGACGAATCATAGTAATATTTTATTTTACCGTATTATAATAATAAGTCTCTATCTAGGACGTCCACATGGCAGCTTTATTGCGAAGGAAATGCATTTTTTTTACAATAGATGTCGCTAGGTGCGCTTAAATGTGATTCATGTAAGTTGATTTCTTTACAATAGATGTCCCTAAGTGCGCTTAAACGTGATTCATGTAGGTTGATTTTTCTGAGAGATAAACTTTTTTAATGTAATATTAATTGTCATGTTTGTGTACTATAGCGCAATAAATAAATATTGTATTCTACCACATACATGATAGTACTTTTATACTGATAATTAAAGCAATTCGTGCAAAATTGTTTCCTAACCATTATGCACAACGTTAATATTCAAGTTTTCACTTCTGCCGGCACTCCCGGAGTGCAACCCGTCGTTTTTTTTCATCAGTTCCTTGTGAGCTCCCTATTTCATTTATAGAGAAGACCTGTGCCCCAACAGTGGTGACATTAATAGGCTGATGATGATGACCTGCCATGATTGAACACGCGTTGCCGCTTACCCCTTGGTGTTTAAGTATAAATCTCTCAGTGTTCACCTCCCATGATGGACTGGGAGAGAAAAAACACAGAATTCGCCAGCTGCTAAGTTTCCCAAGCAAATGTGAAAAATAACTATCAACGCTGAAGATATCGCACGTTTCTTGAAGTACAATGAAAAACACGCACTTTTTACACTATTTCTTGTTTACTAATTATGAAATATGATATTTAAAAAAAACAGTGGATAGAAATTAATTAGAAAACCGTGAAATGGACTAATAATAATTAATATTATCAACACTTACACCAATTAGCTTCTACACACGACACGCTTTATCAGGTAAGGTACGTACGTATCTGGGCGTTTTTCCCCGTCCCCCACGACAACGGCTAACTAGAGCCGAGGTCCGAGTCTCAGGGACGCCCTCTAGTTGAGCCGACCCCCTCAGGTTCGAGTGGTCTAGGGGCTCCAGACTGAAAGGAGACTCCCCCCGTGGGGAGACGCCATCCGCCTGGAATACCTCTTGAGGCACTCGCCAATTCCCGGCTTGAGGTCCCCATTAGGATCTTGCCGTCCCCAAACCCGGTGATGCTGTAAAGGTCACCTGCAACCAACAGCATATACACTCAAAAAAAAAACAATTAGCCTAGCCCCACTGTAGGCTTGTGTCATGGGATACTAGGGTAACGGATAGAATACCTACGTATACCGATACATATATAAGTATATTTATTTAGAAATACATATTAAACATCCGTGACTGGAGTAAAAATGCTCGTATTCATCACACAAACATCTGCTTCCACCGGGATTCGAACCCGGGACTTCTCGAGTACTCGACACTTTAAAACCCGGCATACAAATCACTCGGCAACGGAGGTCGTCATATGAGGAATGGCAATCGAAAGGTTATTTATAATTACTTTGCTTACATGGAAGTTACTTTAAGTTTAAATTAATAAATAGAATAAACGTTAAATATAAATAGTTCTTTTATTATATTCCATGATTCAATAAGAAGAAGAAAAATTGCTGTTTTAAAATTATTGAAAAAGAAAACGCACATTTCATAAAATAAAAAGTTCGATTAGATGAACGTTTGAATAAATTTGAAGAGTAACAGATCGGACTCGTGATTTGTGTGAGATGAGTTTTGTGCCTATTCTTCAATGAGGGGTTTTAATAAGTATATTGAAAACCCCGTGTTGAAGAATTATTCTGTTCTTATAAACATCTTACAATTAAGTAACATAATGTTTTGTAGGATTTTTTATAAATAATGCGTAATAGCAAGTTGTAAATAAAAACATTTTCTTCTCATTATCAGACTGCAGGATGAAGATGTACCCCACGTATAGATGTTAATAAAAATTAAGAAGGTACTATTGAAATGCACTTATCTTGATCAAAAATATTATTATTGGACAAATTCCAGGAACCGTTTCCATTCCCGACCTCAAGGTTTGAAACTCAGCAGCCGATGCCATGCATGTTGATAGATACGGAGTGGTTACTATTTCTGTGGATCTTAGAGCATAATACTCTAACACTAAGCTGTGGAGAGATCCTCAGATCTCATGGGTCGGATTGGCATGGCACCGACACCAAATGTTAATTTGACTTTAAATGTACTTTAGATATAAGTAAAGTCAACCTACGGTTGCCTGGAAGAAATTTCTTTTTAGCGATAAGGCCGCCGTGTGTACCCTAAACTTATCTAAAATAGTTATAATTTAAATTATAGTGTGCAATAAAGTCATAATCTATCCATTCATTCATTAAAATATCTTTCTTAGTATAAATTGTAAGGTGTTTTTTTTCACACCAAAAAAAACACGTTTAGACAGGTGTTTAAAAATGTTTTTCTTAAAATTTACATCACTAGGCTAAAAGTAGGAAGAAGTTACCAGTCTTATAACTCGGTGATCTCTGATCATAATGTCGCAGAGCACGCGACGCGACGAGCCGACGGAATTCCATACATTCGCACATGAGATTGAATGTGAAGATTTCTTCAACAATATCTGGAAATAGCCACCTTATGCTGGCTGGCACTTCAAACGGCGATTTGTACTTGCCTTATTTAATTTGTCAGCAGTCTCAACTTTTCATTCCTTTTGAAGTATGATGATTGATGAGAATATTAAGTTTTACTCAGGGAGTATCTATGGTTTTCCAAGCTCTACGTAGAAGGGGTTCAAAGGGTACTCGTTTGTCCCTATAAAAAAATATTGCAATTCAGACTGGCTTGTAAAATGGAGTAATTTTTCTTACTACTTTCAAATTCGGTAAATGCGAATAGCTTTATTTGAATGTAATACCTAAGAGACATTAACTATAAGATATCTATAGATGTACAGTTACAGTGTCTTTTTTATGTAGTCATAGAGTGTCCCTGTAGATATATTGCTTAAAAAGCATGATATTGTATTTGCTTGCTAGAAAAGCATAATTTTATGTAAGCATAGAAATATTCCACTTTTTCATGCGGAAATTCGGAAATGAACCTTTTTCTCGGGAGCGCGTGGAGGTAATCATAATAATAATAAAGCTTCTACTTTTCCCTTACAAATGTCTTTTAAGATATTTATAGATTTATATTATTTATTGGTTAGTACTGTATTTATCCTAATGCTAAAAGTTAATAGTGTTAGTTGTGAGAGCGTGGAGGAATCGATCTGAAATTAATATCTAATCATAAGGTCTACAATCCTTAGACTTGAACTATTTACAAAGCTTCAAGTTTGTATGAAAACCTTGGTACTATTGATAAATTCTAAAGACATATCTCGAGATATATCTTGTCTTGGCGCGTGCCCCTCCCATGCAATCCAGCCGTGTTCATCAAACCATGCAGAAAACAAAAGCAACGGAAACCGTCCTCCAGTCGCCTACAAGAAACACAACTGAACAGTTTTCTAAAACAAATATCTTATTTCCAACAAAACAACATTGCCAAAGTTTATATTAATTTGGTCAAAACAAAGTGTCAAAATTACCGCCAAAAGTCAGACGCAATCCCAAATTACACAACTCGCAGTAAACTTAATTATAACTGGCAATGTAATGTAATTACAATTGCATAATAAAATAAATTAAAACAAAATGTTAATATTGGAACATCGCGAATTGCATAAAAAGGAAGGTGTGAATATTTTTGAATAAATTAAAAGTGTATCAAGGTGTTTGGACTTAATACTTTTTAAAAATGGATGCTTTTAAAGGCGCGACCGTGTTGATGCTTTTTGCTTTCTTCACAAGGTATGCGTGCTGTGACGAGTATTTTCGAATGGTGAGTTACAATAATGCATTTAAGTATAAGATATTATCTGTGCCAATTAAATGTAGTAACACGAGCAATTAGTTTCGTATTACTTCGAAGATGTTGCTGATTTTTATAATTAAGCATTTAACTGCTAAATATATCGATATCTAAACAATTTCTCTTTGGAACTTTTAAGATAATCATTTTTTTATTTTTATCAAATGTCAGACTTAAGTGAAGTCTAACTTTCATGAATCTTAAGTGTCAGGCCAGAGTCGAAATACGTAGTCTCAGGTGTCAGACTGGAGTCGCTCTAAGACATAGTCTCAGATGTCAGACTGGAGTCGCTGTAAGACGTAGTCTCAGACGTCAGACTGGAGTCGCTCTAAGACGTAGCCTCGTGTGTTAGACAGGAGTCGAACTTATATGTAGTATTATTCCGCGTTTCCACTTAAGCTTAGCCGGCCTATTCGCTAACTTTTTTGACATTAACAGTGCAACTGAAGGGAAAATATTATCTTAGCGGCGTTACAGTAAAGCAGTAGCAGATGCGAATAGGCCTACAGAACAGTTCTGAACGAGCAAAAATTTGCTCGCTCGGTAATTAAAAACATCAAAGTGAGTGAATGAGTTCGTACAAATATGTTTGACTGAACTCAGGGAACGAATGAAAAATTATCAATAAAAACAATGCAACATCGTTTTGAGCATTCCATTTACCAAGCGAACAAATGTTTGCTCGCTCAGTACTGTTCTGAGCACTAGGTGGAAACGCAGCATTAGGTGTCAAACTGCAGTCGAATTTATATGCAACACAGAAGTTGTCGTACATAACCTTATTGTAATTGTATGACTGCTCCTCCAATTTAATCCTTGTGGGTATATATATTTAAAGGAGATTGCACAGATTCCATACATGTTTGGCCTAAAGACCAATAATCATGAAAAATTGTTTCCTAGATTCGAAATTATATATAAATTACTGTAGAAACGAATATTATTGACGGACACCTCTCAGAACTTCTATAAACCATATTATATACACTGAACATATTAAAATAATAAAAAATAAATAAATTATATAGTAAACTAGAGAAATCAAGCTAAGTACCGAAATTATGGATTAGATTCAGGTATATAGAGCATGTAGATTAACAGATAGTTGCCTGTTTTTAAAGTTAATGCATGAGAGTAACTTTTAAAATCAGGTGTCATTTCCGGTTAAAATAAGGTACTCTGTGACAGAAACTGTGTGATGATTGTGAATGAGCCACAGATTAGAGAGAATTTTTAAACTCTCGTTAACCAAAGAAAGCTAAGAGATTGAGGTTCTATAGCCATAATTATATTCAGTAGCTTCATTATTTTTGTTATGTTTTTAAGATAACCATATTTTAGATTTATAGTGTATCACACCTTATAATTTTATCAATTTATTAATTTATAGTCAGGGAACGTAGGCCCATAGATAGATACCTTAAAGTCTAACATATATACAGATTATAATGTGTTTATGGAGGTGTTTGGCGAAAAATATATGGCAATAGACTTTATGATGTCGCCTACCATCTATAATAATTGTCTGAGCACATTTGCATCTAGTGAAAATGATAATATAGTTGTGGATATTATTACCACAGTGTAATAAAAATATGATTTATTTTATCGATCTTTACAAAATAGATTTGATGTTTTTATGTTATATAAACAACTTCGATCAGTCTTTGGCTGAATGTTACTATACCCATAGCCAATAAAAAATATTCGTATGTTTTCCAAACCGGTAAAATTAAAAGTCCTTTTTAAAGTAAATATATTATACAAAGGTGTCCGTTGAAATCTAATGACTGTAAATTAAATTAAAAATTACGCCAAGAATTACCGTGTATGTCAATATTTTTTGTGCATTTGGGCCAATTTGAGCAATCTCTTTTAATATGTTAAATCTAAAGAAATTTAACATATTTTGAAGAATTTTACTAGAGAACATTCGACGCGGACAAGGCAGCAGACGGGCCTCGAACCGGATTTTTAATTCTTGTATATGTTTCTTTGTCATATTATCACCTTAAACAGGGAACAAAGAGGGAGGTATTGCCATCCAAATAAATAATTACCAACACATGACTTATCAAATTTTCCGGATATATAGGAACTTTCTGTTAATAGTGTTGACTTGTGTTAACTTCCCTGTAATTCCCGTTTATAACTCTTTAGTCTGTGCCGTACTTTCTCTCAATCAACATCCTCGAATTAGACCTACATAATAATGTAGGTACAATTGACAATACAATTTGACAATACAATGTCATGCGAAACCTACAACCTACCACAACACAGAAAATACCAAAAAAACTACCAGAGGTCCAAGTCTCAGAGACGCCCTTTAGTAGAGCTGAACCCCATTAGGTTAGAGTGTTCTACAGACTCCAGGGGGAGAGGAGACTCCCCGCTGTGGGGTGATGCCATCCGCCTGAAATACCTCTAGAGGCATTCGCTTTATATATATGAGTGATGCGTGCGCCGCCTAATGTAAGGTTATTTAAGAAAAGAAGTTTCAAAGTTCATATGACTGTGTGGTCCGTGCACACAATTTTTTTTTATCTCCTGCAGGAGCTTGATGGGCAATAATTCTGACATTTTGCACTTAACACTTGTTAAGCGTTAACTTATTTGAGCAGCTTTGTTATACTTATATTGGTGACAATTCAGGCATGATTCTCTAAACACAAAACTAAATTTAACTTAAGTCTCTCCTTTACATTCTGTATATAGAATGACAAGGATACACTGTTGTCAAATTCAATTAAGTTTAGGCTTAGAAAATCATGCCAGCATCGACACCATTTATTAGATAAATTATAACAAGTCATATTTGCAGAAAGTAGATCAAAAAGAAGGGGGAGTGAGGAGCTCGATGGCTCAAGTTGTTAGCGCGTTCCGTCTGCAATTTAAGCAACTATCGCAATTGTCAGTTGGACACCCAAAATATACTATTGGCTGTAACGCCGTTGGTCTCCGCTGCATTTGCAGTCCTCAAAATCAACCAATCCGCACTAGGCCAACGTGGTAGCTCAAAACCATCCAGCTAGCCACCATGTCTCATATTCATAGGGAAGACTGTGCCCCAGTGCTAGGGTCATAATACTTAGTAGGCTGATGGGATAAAGTTCATCCTTGTTATCATTTTGTTCAGCGACGATAAGCAACACTTCATTTATCATCTATATTAATAATACCTATTGGATAGTGATTAATAAATCAGCTAGCACTTCTTAACATTATTATTTAATTATTTTAATCAAGTATCCATCCATACATCCATCTTGCATGCCGATGATCAAGAGAGGAGATCCGCTCCACAGATTACATGGATGTAGTTCAAATACAGATTGTCATTCAGACACAGAGTAACATTCACATAACAATCCTGAAAATGCGTTCCAATTTTTAGTCAGGTGAATAGGATTTTAGTAATCGGAGAGATTAGTTTCGGGTGTAAGGCGGTACCTCTTATATCCAACCCTATCATTATCATTTTGATCTTCAACCACAGACCTGAAATGAAGTAAAAGCCGCATGCGTTTCCAATTGTATAGAAACCGAGCGTGTCAGGTTTTGAGTATTCACTAGAACAAATAAGTGGTAAACGGATGGGCCCCGGTCACCTGTTCCAATTATATCGTTTTTACAGCTTACTATGACATAGTGAGATATTTTTTAAACATTAAGGTTAACGTTCAGTATTGAGAACGGCAACGCGAAGAAATGCTTTAGCGTAAAAGGATGATCATTGGATTGGATTAGGGCTGCCATCTCTAAAATGTGGCAACCAGGATAAGACGCGTGATAACCCCGGATTTTGTTGCCCAGAACCCGGACAGACCAAAAAAAACAGTTAAAAATGTCACAAATCAACTTTATGTTGATCTAGGCAAAAGAGCTAGCAGTCTACCTCATAATAAGTGGACTCTGCTGCCCTTGGACACTTGCAGCACCAAGGGCCACTCAGGCGTTGCCGTAAATGTTTTAACCCGGACTACTAATAAAACCTCGCCCGGACGCTCCCGGACGCCCCGTAAACTAGGACAAATCCGGGGAAACCCGGACGGATGGCACCCCTAGATTGGATCAATGGCCTTTGGCGCGCGAAGTGCATTGTTGTCTGTGTCTTCAGCCTTTCAAAGTCCACTGCTACCCATAGGCCCAAGTTTAAATATTCTATATCCTATCACAGGACTAAATCTATGTAGGTACCAAATTTTCAAGTTTAGCGGTTTAACCGTGAAGAGTTGACAGACACCCTTTCGCATATTACAAATATTACTATGGATGGGTTTGCACCTGTGTTAAGCCGGGGCAGTTCATCATCACCATCATCAACCCATGCTCGTCCACTGCTGGACATAGGTCTCCCCTAATGCACGCTCCCCGGGGCGGATCGCTAGTATTTAATTATATTGTTCCTTTGTCTCCAAAATTTTCGTATTGTCATTAAATCTCCGCGCCGTGAAGGTTAGAACAAAAAGTGTCACATGCGCTTAAAAGGTGTACGCCACCGGAACGGACAGGAGTCTTGACTCATCGTTATTATTTTTATTTTTAATCAAATTGGCATGGCCTTGTCAAGTAGATTAACTCACCTGTATCCTGACATAAGACAATTTGATGATGATGTTATGCTGCGTTGCGCTTAAGCTCTGAACGAGCAAACATTCGTCTTTGCGCCTGTTGCTGTTGTACCGTCTTTATTACAATGAAGTGTTCCGAGGAATTATTCCATCTGGTGCCAGCTACCAAGTCCCTTAACTGCACCACATGCCGCACCGAGATGTTTATCCCCTTTATTATGTTAATAATATATAATAAAATTATTTAATCCACATACGAATAAGTAAGGCTATAGTTCAATAGTTGTTTTAAAACTATAAATAATGTACAATATCGTTAAAAATAATAGGAAGACTGTCACTTTGTGTAGCACAGGGTATTTCAGATAACATTTTTAACTTCCAATGTCCAATGACACATTACCGTCCCGAACGAATGAATGAGCTTCTTACCCAATGAGCCCTTAAACCTAATTTAACAACAGAAACATAACAATTTAACTTCTTGAGAACAAGGGAATTGAAATTGAAAAATAACACTGCCGTTTGGTGGTGTTAGGTTAGGTTAGGTTAGTAGGTTCGTTAGGTAGGAAGATGCCCGTTCACTCTGGGCTTGTAGATGTCCAGATGTTATATTGGTCCGGGAAAACAGACCTCGGCAAGGAGTTTCACTCCCTCGCCGTTCGCACAATGAATAATCTAATGAATCGATATGGTGCAGAAACGTTAATAGAGAATCCGACTTACACTTGACCGGTTTGAAATTTACTCTTCGTGTTCTTTCATATGGCTTCCTTTTCTATTCTATGTTCCACCAAGTTTCTAATTAACGAACCGATAACAAGGTGTTGTCTAACGCCATTGTCCCCGTGTCTGTCTGTCCGTTACCTAACAATAAACTATCTCTGCTACAATGACAGCGTTTTGCAACACCGCCAAACTTTGAAATTTGTCTCGTAAAATGTTCGAGGACTCACGAAAACCTTTATTTGTGACATCATTGTTGGTATAATATAGAAACCATATATGAGCACCCGTCTTTCTTTCTAGGATATACGTTGAACTATGAAGCCGACATTCCGTGGTACTGAATGTACCGTTGACTTGCATCATGCATGGTGCAGATGAAAGTTGGTTTCGTTTGCACCATTAATGTTAATACTAATATATCCCCTATTATCGTCATAAAAAATGTTTGTTGAGAACCAAATGAATGCCGAGTAAACTAATAAACTCCAAATCCTCAATTATATTGTATATAAAATTTCACTCACAGTAAAAGACACGGGAACTATTAGAAACAAGAAAAACGTTTTAAACAAATTAATATAAAAATATTTAGTGGTTACTCATTATCACACAAAGAGGCTAAAGAGCGAGATATAGGGTGTATTCCGAAATGTACATCAGTATACTGACCAGTGGTAATGACGTCACGAATCAGACGCCATATTGTACTGGTATGCTACCATATTTTTACTGGGAAAACGAATATGACGTATGACCGAGCGTGCGTGAGATGCATTCGAATTTTATTTCTTTTTTATTTAAGGAGCAATAATGGCATCCGAACAAAAAGAATTCCCTATAGTTGATGAGGTGAATAAAAAATCTTCTTTTTTCGCACTATTTTTAATATTTCGTCGATTTATGACGTCAGTGCACTGGCCAATATATTTCGAAACAATTCACCAGTATAGCGTCGATCCATGACGTCATTAGCACTGGCCAGTATACTGGTATATATTACGGAATACACCCATTATCTGCTTTATGAATGAAAGTGTAAGAGACTACTTTAGCGGAGGTCGCCAAGGGAAGTTGGGGCGGGGACTACTTGTGCTATGTTTTTATTTATTTTAAGCATTTAACTGCTAGATGTTTAAATCTAAAGAAAAGTTTACTAGAAAAAAAATCCACGCGAACCAGGCAGCGGACAGGACTCGAACCCGCACCCTTCGCAATCCGGGCGAATGCACTGACCATTATGCTACCACGGCCCTACTACTTGTGCTATTTTAAAATGCAGTATTGTTGGCGTATAACCTGTCTATGTGTATTATACGTCATTGGTGCAAGTAAATAATGGTGCAGTCGGGACAGCGGCGTAGAATCGATCAACATTAAGAGAAACTACACAGAGATAATGGGCTGTATTAAATGTATCGTGATGACTAAACCGACACAGACGCACTTACTTCGTGCAATATGCGCAAAGATTAAACGACTCATCACCGTTACAATCTTGATGACACTGTGTCTATTCTATTGCGATTCCGACCTTGGTTCCGCAGCCGTGACGGACGGACGTTATCCAATTTTTATTTATTATATTTAATGACATTTGCAAGAAAACAATACCTACAAACATATATTTTAATAGCGGCTACAACTATAGCTAGGAAGGAGAGGACACGGTATTTTCTGTTGTCACTACCACTAGTCCAGTTAATCTATTAGTGTTTTTTAAAAATGATTCTGTGGTTTGGCCAATAACAGCTTTGTTAGGGTAAGGCGCCTAGCCAACCTTAACAATTAGTGAGAAACAGAGTTATAGCTATAGATTTTTAATTTGTCCGCGTTAATAAAGTAAAGTTTTTAATATGTACTTAGTGTTTTGAATGTCCCACAGGAGCATGGTTGATTCCTTTGAACGCTCTAGCTATAAATTTTTTTGTGACCCCAAAAAATTTTAATATAAGAACTTATTAATTGACATAACAGTAACTTTGTAATCTTCATGTTTCGTTATTCACAATAGCAAATAAGTTTTATTTCTTACGATATTTTGCACTTGCAGTGTAAAATGACACTTTATCTACGTACCTATATGCGTTATGGCGATGAGAAGTTCTACACAAACGTATCACCCATAGCTGTATGTAGGTACTGCTTTTGTCAACTAACGGAAGCAGTGGCCCTTCAAAAAGTAATTTTAAAGTTATTAGAGCAGCTGTTCTACTTACATTTACTTGATAAATGAAAGTCATATTTGCAGTTAGTAGGACAACAATGAAGAGGAGTGAGGAGCTCAATGGCGCAAGTTGTGAACACGTTCGGTCTGCGATCGTGGCAGTTACGTAATAGTAGAGGACCCCAAGCGAGGACTTTAGGATTTACTCAAGCGCGGCATAATAACATAAGGGGCGCAACGTTACACCTTGTGGTACTCCCACCATACCTGAGCCCTTTGTATAGGGACGAACGTCTCGGAATCGGGCGCTAGAATTGGAGCGCCCATCTGGGAAAGTAACCTTCACCTTACAAAAGGCCACAGTAAAATAACACTACCTTATAGTCGTGTTTCATATCCGATGGTGAGTAAGGTTCCAGACACCGGCGTGAGTGATGTTTTTTGTGTCGCAAGCGTCAAGCTATGGTGACCGCTTACCATCAGGCGAGCCATAACCTTATTTGTCACCATTTAACATTAAAAAAATTTATTAAAAGTTTTTCATTTCAGGGGGTGAACACAAATTCAGCGGAAGCCCTACAGTTCCTTAGGGAATATGACAGGGAAGCGTCCGGAATGTGTTACAGGTAAAATATTTTAACTTAAATAACTTAAAACTGTATTTTTTAATGTGAATCTTTTATAACATTGCCTTTTATAAAATTTCCGTTTATCTTAAGTAAGCCGCATTACATATTTTAAACGTTCTTGAATCATTCAGACCTTATCAACAAGCATCTGTGATTCAGTGGCAAAAAGCTCATTTACTACGCGGGCAACTCCGGGTTCGATTCCCAGTCGTAAGGAAGAACTTTTTTTTATTGATTAATGAATATCCATCCGTCTGTCTATCTGTCGGTCAAGACCCTTAATCTCGGGAACGCGTAGAGTTATCGAATTCATAGGTCTACAGTCCTTTGAAGCTGTTATAAATCAAACTTCTAAGAAGATATGTCCGATAAAAGATATTATCGAAGATTTATGTTGTGTACCTCTGCCCGGTTTTTTTTGTTTTGTTTGGGTTTAAGTTTTTAAGTAATTCTTCTTGAGAGAATTTCAGCCAACCTCACCTAGTTGAAAATAAAATTATTCATATAAAAAACAGGTAATTGAATGCAAATCAGAATATATGTAATGATTCGTCTTGTCTGTACAGGGTTACCATATCCCAATGGAAGTTCGTCACAAACATAACGGAGTACAACCGCCGGCGGATGCTCGAAGAGTTGGCTCTCAGCTCCAAGTTCGAGCGGCTGTCCTGGAGGAAGGCAGCTGCGTATGATGCGTCAAGACTACCTGATCCTCAAGGCAGGAGACAACTCATGAGAGTGGTGCAAGCTAGCAGAGCAGCCCTGCCAGACGACAAATTCACAGAGGTATTTAAGTATATAATTTCGGAAGTTGGAAAAAAAATACGGATTTCGGAAATTGCAGTGCCCGCCTCGGGAAGCAACCTCATCTTTACAGAAGAACACAGTAAAATAACATTACCTTTTGGTGACCTGACCACAACCCTATACCCTATAAAGTCCACCGACAGAAACACAACTGTGTTACATTACCATGGTCTTCTGGAAGTTACTTCCATCATCATCAACCTATTAATATCCCCACTGCACAGCCTTCTCTCCCATATTTGTACATCTGCTGCTGCGTTTCTAAACTTTACTGATATTCACGTCTGTTAAGCTAGCATGGCAAAGTGAGCAGAATCGCTTAAAAAAAGTGCATCAATTGGTGCCAAATTAGTGCTAATTTAGTGCCAAAACCTGAAATTTAATGCTCTCATAGTTTCGCGAAAAATTAGAACACTGCCAGCTTTTAATTAAGCTAGCAGTGTATTCCCTGAAACGCCTATATTAACGCAGTATAGAACTAAAGCAATGCATAGGGAATTTAGTGCTTAATGAGTGCTGGCAGTATCTGATAAAAAATTTCGTTTTTTTTTTTTATCAATCAAAACTGCTAGTTTGACCGTCCGAGCAAGCAATATCACATAATGCCAGCACTCATTGCGCACTAAATTATTAACCGTTGATGATCATAGATCTTCGATCCAGAGTGATGTATTCAACCCGGTCACTTGCTCAGACTGTCAAACTAGCAGTTTTGATTAATAAAAAATAAAAAAATCCAAATGTTTTATCACATAATGGCAGCACTCATTGAGCACTAAATTATTAACCGTTGATTATTATAGATCTTCGATCCAGAGTTATGTATTCAACCCGGTCACTTGCTCAGACTGTCAAACTAGCAGTTTTGATTGATAAAAAAAAATCGAATTTTTTTATCAGATACTGCCAGCACTCATTAAGCACTAAATTCCCTATGCATTGCTTTAGTTCTATACTACGTTAATATAGGCGTTTCAGGAAATACACTGCTAGCTTAATTAAAAGCTGGCAGTGTTCTAATTTTTCGCGAAACTATGAGAGCATCAAATTTCAGGTTTTGGCACTAAATTAGCACTAAATTGGCACCAATTGATGCACTTTATTTTAAGCGATTCTGCTCACTTTGTCATGCTAGCTTAACAGACGTCTGATATTCTTCTTTTGAAGAGCATAGAAATCATTTAATATACATTAATGTTTTTTAACACCGTAGCTTACAGTATTGTTAATTTATTTAGGAACTTTGACCCTTTAATTGATCACACAGGCCAGCCTATAGTCACATATAACGGCTCAATTTAAAAACGCTCCCACAGATCCAGCAACTCATAACGGAAATGAAGGAGATATACAACACAGCGAAGATATGTCCGTACGGCCAGAAGCCATACGACCCGCATATTCCGAAGATGCTGTCGAATCAGGACTTCATGACGAACCAGTACCAACTAGCGAGCAACCCTTACCAGCACTACCAACCGCACCAAGAGAACACGGAGTACCCGAACTACTGCGACATGCAGTTAGACCCGGAGATCTCCAGGATTTTAGCTCATTCCAGAATTGAGAGCGAGTTGTTGTACGTGTGGAAAAGTTTTCGGGAACAAACTGGGCCAAAGCTGAAGAACCGATTCATGAGATATGTGCAGTTGGCGAATCAGGCCGCGGTTGCTACAGGTAATTGATAGAAAGCAGTATCTCTATAGTAATTTATGCTATTTACGTGATTGAAACCATGCACCTTGATTTATAGTGAGTTTCCGATATTTCGGCCATGTTGCAAGCGCAATGATCACGGAGTAACGTTCATTTATTACGTGATCCTGGCGCTTACATTGTCAGTGACCATGACGCCCCCCACTCTCAAACTTTGACGCGCTTTATCTTTTTCATTTTTGGTTGATTGCCAATGTGAAAATAAAAAATTGCCCCGTGTGACGATCGTGACGCTCGTAGCGTTTCAGCCTTCGCCGAGTTACCTTCCACTGCGCACGCTTTCCACAAACACACACATTATATGTATATATATATATATATATATATATAGTCGTGTGACGCTCGCGACATATTTCCGTTTCATCTTTTCTATAGGATTTTTTCATTTACACCCCGTCCGATAAGAAGTCTCACTTCAAAAAGTGCCAATTATTCTTGACGATGTAAATAGAATTTCGTTTACTTCAACCGCGTCATAATCTCTATTGCAGCCTTTAAATATCCCTTTAAATTATTCACTCCATCCAGGTTTCCGTGACGCCGGCGATCAGATGCGTACTGCCTACGACGACCCATCGTTTAGGACCAGCGCGGAAGAGGTTTACAACCAGGTGGCGCCGCTGTACAAGCAGCTCTTCACGTACGTGCGCAGGCGGCTTGTGCAGAGGTACGGCGAGGCGAGCGTCCGCGGCGACGGGCCGATACCAGCGCATTTGCTTGGTGAGATTATCGTGTACATATTGATATAAGCAGCTGTTCATGCATGTACACCGGCGGCTGATACGAGGTACGGCGAGACGAGCGTCCGTGCCGACGCCAATACCAGCGCATTTGCTTAGAGTGAGATAGACGTCTACATATTGATATAAGCAGTTCTTCACGTACGTGAGCAGGCGGCTGGTGCATAGGTACGGCGATACGAGCGTCAGCGCCGGCAGGCCGATACAAGCGCATTTGCTTGGTGACATAAACGTCTACATATTTATATAATCAGCTGTTCATGTACGTGCGCAGGCGACTGGTGCAAGGGTACGGCGAGACGAGAGTCCGCGCCGACGCGACGACGGGTCGATACCAGCGCATTTGCTTGGTGAGAGGCGTATTTATGATAAATCAGGCACCCCAGCCATAAATGATTTGCATTTGATTATTAATCAAATATAGGTCAGTAACGAATTTCTTTATACTTTTGACCCTTAAGTCGCATTATATCAGAAACGACAAAAAAAGAGATTCTTATAATTGAAGATTATCAAAATAGCCAAAATTTTTAATATACGGCACTTCTACTGCACAACCACCCCTCACGGTTGTGAATCGGCGGCAGTTTGCCGCCCCTTGCCAACTGACCCAATGGTAAATATGCTCCTGACTACATCATATTGACGTAGGCTACAGACTCATACGTGATTGGAGGCCTACAAAAGCATTATTAAAATAATACGTTAAGTATGCTATTACGTCAGTACCATAATAACTATCATGGAGGTTAAAATAAATAAATATTTTCAACACTCACACCAATTAGCCTAGCCCCAGAGTAAGCACTGTAAGGCTTGTGTTATGGGATGCTAGGGTAACGGATAGAATACATATATACTCTACTTAAATAAGCATATTTATATAGAAACTAGCGGGCCGCCCTCACTTCGCTTCGGTGTAGAGCTGAAGTGTAGACTACAGTTTTTGTTCTCAGGCTTGTATTATACACAATGACATACATCTATGATTATTATACCTGCATGCAAAGTCTCAGCACGATCGGTTTAAAATTGACAAAGTTTTGATACAACTTTCATTCCCTATTTTATTCCCTTGGGGGTAGAATTAATCAAAATCCTTTCTTAGCGGGATGCCTACGTAATAACATCTACCTGCATGCCATATTTCAGCCCGCTCCGTCCAGTGGTTTGGGCTGTGCGTTGATAGATCACTATGCCAGTCAGTCAGTCACCTTTGAATTTTATATATATTTGTACTCCAGTCATGGATATACGAGCATTTGTACTCCAGCCATGGATATATATATATATGTATTCATTACATAAATCTGCCCCTCCGGGATTCGAACCCCCGAGAGGTCCCTTCTCGAGTCGGCGACACCATGAAACCCGGCGTACAAACCACTCGGACACGGAGGTCGTCAAGGAGGTCGAATAAGAATTCCACATCATATCAGCCTGAAATTTTAAACCAATTCAATAGCTGCGTCGCAAAGATAGAAACAGAAAGTCACAATTCATTGCATGCAATGAAAATACCAAGCTAGAAGAGATTTATTATTTCATAATTATATGTAGCTTGGCCAAGACTTCCGTCAACGTGGAATTTTACGGACATGATGAGTTCCTCGAGTGTGAATACAGCTTTTATCTAATTGTACCTACCTTTGGTTGGCAGGGCGTCAAGGTACGACATATGATATAAATTTAAAAATAGTCTTTTGTTTCCAGGTAATATGTGGGCACAGAATTGGAAGTCAATAATGGATCTGGTGATGCCATTCCCGCAAGCGCCTAACGTTGACATTACTGCTGAGATGCTGCGCCAAGGATTCACACCGTTGAGGTAAGATAAATTGTGCTGCAGTCTCTATCAATCGTCATTCAGATTCTATTTAATTTCTATCTTTTGCAACGAAGTTTCTTTTCGGGAGGTATGGCGCACAGAACACAGAAAGAGTTAGAAAACCGAGTCAAGTTATGAGCTCGGACATAACAGTGGCGTGCTGCCCCACAAGGCAATATCTAACCTAGGCAACTAGCTACGCAACTAACCAGATCACTAGCTAGGCAACTAGCTCAGCAAATAGTCAGGCAAATTGCCAGGTAACTTGCTAGGCAACTAGCTTTATAACTAGACTGTCACTAGTCGCTAGGCAATAAGCTCGGCAACTAGCCATGCGCAACTAGCCAGCAACTAGCTCGGCATCTAGCCAGGTAACCAGCCAGGCAACTAACCAGGCAACTAGCTAGGTAACTAGCCAGGTCACTAGCAAGGCAACTATCTAGGCAACTAGCCAGGCAACTAACCAGGCAACTAGCCAGGTCACTAACAAGGCAACTAGATAGGCAATTAGCTCGGCAACTAGCCAGGTCACTAGCTAGGCAACTATCTCTAGGCAACTCGCCAGGCAACTAGCCAGGTCCCTAACAAGGCAACTAGATAAGCAACTAGCTCGGCAACTACCCAGTTCACTAGCTAGGCAACTAGCCAGGTCACTAACAAGGCAACTAGTTAGGCAACTAGCTCGGCAACTAGCCAGATCACTAGCCAGGTTACTAGCTCGGCAACTAGCCTGGCAACTAGCTACGCAACTAGCTAGGCAACTAGCCATGCAACTAGCTAGGCAACTAGCCATGCAACCAGCTAGGCAACTAGCTCGGCAACTAGCCAGGTAACCAGCTAAGCAACTAGCCAGGCAACTAGCCAGGCCATTAGCTAGGTAACTAGCCAGGCAACTAACCAGGCAACTAGCCAGGTCACTAACAAAGCAACTAGATGGGCAACTAGCTCGGCAACTAGCTAGGCAACTAGCCATACAACTAGCTCGGCAACTAGCCAGGCAACTAGCCAGGCAACTATCTAGGCAACTAGCCAGGCAACTAGCCATGCAACAAGCCATTCAACTAGCCAGGTAACTAGCTTGGCAACTAGCCAGGCAACCAGCTAGGCAACTAGCTCGGCAACTAGCCAGGTCACTAGCTCGGCAACTAGCCAGGCAACTAGCCACGCAACTAGCTAGGCAACTAGCCATGCTACTAGCTAGGCAACTAGCTCGGCTACTAGCTAGGCAACTAGCTCGGCAACAAGCCAGGCAACTAGCCAGGTCACTAGCTCAGCAACTAGCCAGGCAACTGGCCATGCAACTAGTTAGGCCATGCTAGCTGCCTAGCTATCTCCAGCAGTGATAAAAGCTCGGCAACTAGCCAGGCAACTAGCTCGGCAACTAGCCAGGTCACTAGCTAGGCAACTAACCAGGCAACTAGCTAGGTAACTATCTAGGCAACTAACCAGGCAACTAGCCAGGCAACCAGCTACGCAACTAGCTAGGTCACTAACAAGGCAACTAGCCAGCTCACTAGCTCGGCAACTAGCCAGGCAACCAGCTACGCAACTAGCTAGGTCACTAACAAGGCAACTAGCCAGGTCACTAGCTCGGCAACTAGCCAGGCAACTAGCTCGGCAACTAACCAGGCAACTAGCCAGGTCACTAACAAGGCAACTAGCTCGGCAACTACCCAGGTCACTAGCTAGGCAACTATCTAGGCAACTAGCTAGGCAACTAGCCAGGTCAATAGCTACGCAACTAGCTAGGCAACTAGCTACGCAACTAGCTAGGCAACTAGCCATGCTGCCTAGCTATCTCCAGCAGTGAAAAAGCTAGGCAACTAGCTCGGCAACTAGCCAGGCAACTAGCCATGCAACTAGCTAGGCAACTAGCTCGGCAACTAGCCAGGCAACTAGCCAGGTAACTAGCTCGGCAACTAGCCAGGCTACTGGCTACGCAACTAGCTAGGCAACTAGCCAGGCAACTAGCTACGCAACTAGCTAGGCAACTAGCCATGCAACTAGCTAGGCAACTAGCTCGGCAACTAGCCAGGCAACTAACCAGGCAACTAGCCAGGTCACTAACAAGGCAACTAGCTAGGCAACTAGCCATGCAATTAGCCAGGCAACTAGCCATGCAACTAGCTCGGCAACTAGCCAGGTAACTAGCTCGGCAACTAGCCAGGCTACTAGCTACGCAACTAGCTAGGCAACTAGCCAGGCAACTAGCTAGGCAACTAGCCAGGCAACTAGCCATGCAACTAGCTAGGCAACTAGCTCGGCAACTAGCCAGGCAACTAACCAGGCAACTAGCCAGGTCACTAACAAGGCAACTAGCTAGGCAACTAGCCAGGCTACTAGCTACGCAACTATCTAGGCAACTAGCCATGCAACTAGCCAGGTAACTAGCTCGGCAACTAGCCAGGCAACTAACCAGGCAACTAGCCAGGTCACTAACAAGGCAACTAGCTAGGCAACTAGCCAGGTAACTAGCTCGGCAACTAGCCAGGCAACTAACCAGGCAACTAGCCAGGTCACTAACAAGGCAACTAGCTCGGCAACTAGCCAGGCATCTAGCCGGGTAACTAGCTCGGCAAGTAGCTCGGCAACTAGCCAGGCAACTAACTACGCAACTAGCTAGGCAACTAGCTACGCAACTAGCTAGGCAACTAGCCATGCTACTAGCTAGGCAACTAGCTCGGCAACTAGCCAGGCAACTAGCTAGGCAACTAGCTCGGCAACTAGCCAGGCAACTAGCCAGGTCACTAGCTAGGCAACTAGCCAGGTCACTAGCTAGGCAACTAGCCAGGCAACTAACCAGGCAACTAGCCAGGTCACTAACAAGGCAACAAGATAAGCAACTAGCTCTGCAACTATCTAGGCAACTAGCCAGGCAACTAACCAGGCAACTAGCCAGGTCACTAACAAGGCAACAAGATAAGCAACTAGCTCTGCAACTAGCCAGGCAACTATATTATTATATATATTATATATATATTATATAGAATTATAGAAATAAAGAAGAATTCTATTCTATTCTATAAAGAATAATTGTAATCTTCTTTATTTCTATAATTTCATTAGTGAACCCGTAAGTGAATGAAAAGATAGGAAAGGCCAGGCAGGGGGGACATATTCATAGTTAGCCTAGGGCGGTTCGAATTCTAAATCAGGCCCTGACTGGGCCTAATGGGTAGGTAAACACATTACTACTGAAAGGGTCATTTATTCCTGATGTCCCCACTGATTTTCCCCAGTAAGAATCCCCACCAGTGGGGATTCTTACTTTTTCCCACATATCCCTAATGGCTTACATAGCCATGTAAACAAAGCTTAGTGGGGATTATTGTGTTATTTTTTAATGTACTTGTAGTAGGTACTGTCTTCCTATAATACCTTTTTTTACCTTTCGTCCTCCATGGTTATTTCAGGATGTTCCAAATGGCTGAAGAGTTTTACACTTCATTGGGACTGAAGCCGGTTCCTCCAGAGTTCTGGCGAGGATCGATGTTGGTGAGACCCCCACAGAGGAGCGTGCAGTGCACCGCGAGCGCGTGGGACTTTTGTAACCGGATAGATTACAGGTCAGTCTTATCTATACATATAATAAAGTGGTAGGAAAGTCAAAACTGTACATTGAATATCTTTATTAAAGAATACTTGGGGTGTGATCTACAATCCATACCGAAGCCAAAAATATAGATTTAAGAATTTTGTCTGTTTGTCTATATGTATGTCCGGGTAAACTCAATAAGTGCTGCATGGATTTACTTTTATTATTGAGAAGTCTCTCAATAATATTCGTGCCAAAGTACCCGACTGGGTCAACATATAGGCTACATATTATCACGCTATTACCTATAGAGAACGAGCAGTGAACCTTTATTTCTAACTAACTCCACGCGTACGAAGTCGCGGGCGGTCACTGGTTATTACTAAGTTAGGAGATTTTCTACTAAAGATAAACAGTTTTTGAAGGGAAACGTCTTTTCGGACTCGGCATAGGCCTCCACTTATCGTTGCCTAATAACACCTCTCAATCCGGCCCTGTATCTATGTACCTATGTATATATATAAAAATCAATTGCTGTTTATTACTCTCGCTAAAACTCGAGAACGGCTGAACGGATTTATCTTATCTTGGTCTTGAAATGTTCGTGGGGGTCTAGGGAAGGTTTAAAAGCTGAGAAAAATAATTATATAAAGAAATTCATTGTGTATAATACAAGCCTGAGAACAAAACTATAGTCTACTTACACTACAGCTCTACACCGAAGCGAAGCGAGGGCGGGCCACTAGTAACAGGATATAAATGTCAATTTTTGAATTTATATTTATATCGACGATATTGAATTTGAATTTATACATCTACTTATGTAGATAATTGTATTGGAAGCGACAGGATTTTATGTAAATGATGCTATATAAAAATATTGGACGATTCAAAAGAGCATTCAATATATCACTTTGAATAAAATATCATTTGATTTCATTTCGGTACCAGGCTGGCATGAATGTTGTAAAATAAAAAATAATAATAATGAACAGGCCATTTTCGTCTTTCGAATGCATTGACCGACCATTAAACCACTGGGCACTTCCAACTGGGTATAAGTAGTGTTTGTTTCGAGTAAATAAATACGAACCACGGGAGAAAATACTTAAGTTTCTTCTATCAAATCCAATTATTTTAAGTATATTTTCATTTCCATGTACTACTTACTTGCTTAAGTGGCAATAAATTGATGAATTGGCTTTTTCTACTGAAGATTTGCTTTAACGCCTTAACAGAATCAATGGCATAGTCGTATATTCGTTGAATTGCTTGAATATTGTGTAAGGTAACGACAGGTGAACCATACAGTCAGTGCCGTCTTTGACCTATTGGAGGCCCTGGGCATATTAGAATAATGGGGCCCCTACGACCCCCGTTTGGTGATTTAACAGGAACTAGGGACTTTGTATTTGATCTGAGGGGGCCCTTATCGATCGCGGGGGGGCACTAGCCCAAAGTGCCCACTGGGAAAGAGGGCTGTGCATACAGTATTAGATATATATACAGTTATTAGAAATCGCCACGTAGCACCGATATTTGTTGATTCTGTAAAATAAAATTTCAATTCGGATTTTGGTAGCTGCCATTAAGACTTTAGTTTGATATGCATTACGCCGCTACACGGCAAAATGTCGCTATGTTTGTAGAAGCAGCCAGTATTAGATATTTGTCATTTGTCAGAAATCCGAATAAATGATATCGTAAGTGATATTGCATCTTACAGATACAGAATATCTTAAACGATGGTCTGATTTTTTAATAACAATAAAAAATTAAATACAACGAGCTAAAAATTAACGAAAATTTTAGAGGCAATTTAATAAAAGTTTAACTTTTAATATGACACGAACACCGTCCACCTTAGTACAAAGGGTGGACTATAGTTAAACCTGGACTAAAACTGATGCTTTTTCTAAAAATAAGACAGAGACAATGGGTTAAACCAAGTCTGACTTTTCGTTTTAAGAATAAGGCGGTTAGTGTCTGGCGTAGGAAGGCCAAGGGCATTAGTAATTTTAATGTGGTTGTTATAGGATAAAGCAGTGTACTGAAGTTACCATGCAAGATCTGATTTCAACGCACCACGAGATGGCTCACATACAATATTACCTTCAGTACGCTGAGCAGCCACAGTTATTCAGAGATGGAGCAAACCCTGGTAAGAATCGTTTTCTGAAAACAAAATCTAGGGTATGAAAACAGGAGATGATTGATTGTTCACTCACTGATTGTAATTTATCACATAACTTTTTACAGAGTAGTCTTATTTTAATATTTTTTTTATTAGGAACTAGCTGTGCCCCGCGGTGTTACCCGTGGTTTATTAGGGATATTTTCCCGCAGTAAAACGTAGCCTATGTGTTAAACCAGGATGTCAGCTAACTCCCGCCTGCGTGCTCGCAGGCGCGACGCCGTGGGACCTCGATGCGCTGGTTATGGCAGAAATGCATCGAGGTCGGGTCGAGGCCAGGAAGCGGGGTGAAAGACTTGCCCCAGCAGAGCTGAGGCAGGTCCGTTCCATCGCCCAGAGCGAAGCTTTGCGGCGATGGGATGAGGCACTCGCCCATGCTAGCGCCGGCCACCGGACGATTGAAGCCATTCGTCCGGTGTTGGAGGGATGGTTGGGTCGCCGGCGCGGCGGCCTCACGTTCCGCATGGTGCAGGTCTTGACCGGGCATGGATGCTTCGGTCACTATCTGCACCGTGTCGCACGTCGGGAGGAGACGCCGCAATGTCATCATTGCGGCGCCCCGGACGACACGGCCGAGCACACCTTATTGGAGTGCCCGGCCTGGCGACACCAGCGCCGTGAGCTGATTGCGGCGCTGGGATGCGGAGCCCTCTCGCTGCGGAGCATGGTGGAGGCCATGCTCCGCAGTGACAGGGCATGGGAGGCGGGAAGAACGTTATCTCGCAGAAGGAGGCGGCCGAGAGGGAGCGGGAGGATGATCCTCTGGCCGCTCCCTCCCGCCGAAGGAGGACGGGTAGGAGAGGACGGCGACGCGCCCTGGCTGCGCCCGTCCCATGACCCTACCCGGGGGTCTCTCGCTGACCGGCATGGCGTTGGCTGTGCCGGCCACCGACGGACCTCGTGACGGCAGCCCCCCCTTGTAGTTCTGTCCTGCAAAGAGGGGGGCGGCGGAGGGAGCTACACGGGCACGCCCAAGTAGCCCTCCGCAGCGGACGGGGGGCGGTACGGTGGGCATTAGGCCGCGTACTCAACCCCCACGCGCGGGCCTACCTGCGCACGTCTGCGGGGTCCCCGTGATACCCCGGGAGACCCCTGCCGTGGAGCCCCGGCTAGGCCGGGAGGCTGCTAAGTGCGGAGACGCGGAGGAATCCCTAAACGGGGATCCCGCGGCTTCGCGCTAAGCAGCTTAGAGGGTATTCGCAGGACTTTTTTAGCGGATATTATGCCGTAAAGCGCCCGTAAGAGTTGCGGGGTCCTCGGTGGACAGCCACTGGGGCGCCCGTAAGACTTGCGGAAGCCAGGTGTGAGGTCCGTTCGGCGGTGTACCTCTTAAAGGCGCCGTCGTCTGTAAATAGCATTTTTTACCTGCGTAATAAAAAAAAAAAAAAAGGATGTCAGCTAACTCCAGCCATTTAGACGTGAAGAAGTAACAAACACATTACGAATCAAGATAATTGTAAAAGATGAAAGAAGAAGAAAGATGTGCAAAAGAAAAAGCGCAACAAAACAAGCAAAAGAGCAGGCATGAATAAAAACAATATAATAGTAACAAACAAAAAAACAAAAGAAAGAAAAAGACCTGATACAAATTGGGGATAACCGCTAAAAATAAAAAAATAAAAAAAAAAAACAAACACATTACTGTGATATACCCCGAAGTTGGTCACATTGATTGCGCATGAATTTAGAAACCCTAAGGGTGGGAAGACAGGGTTGAATGTTCACTCACAGATTTTGATGCCGATTTGTCACATATTACAAAAATTACAGTCACAAAAAATTATGAAATAAAAACTTTTTAACAAAAACAAATATCCACCAAAAAGCAAAAAAAAATGAGAATCTTTTTTTATATGTAGCCAAATTATTTTTTGGAGTCGGGTTTTGTCTGATAGTTCTAAGTTCCCATTTACTTCTTTGGCTGACTTGGCACCGATTCCATTCATATTAATTTGACTAAAGATAAAAAAGGTTTATTATTTTTAACTTTTCGGTGGTTTTTTTATATTTAATATATTAACTTACATAATTCAGAATGAAATCGAATAACCACGGACCATTTGCTGAAGGAAATCCCCTATGCGTATTCATCAATTTTGTCAACGATGTTCAACAAATAAGCCTATCACACTCACCTCTCAAGTCTAAGTGGATTGTCTTAAAATAAAGTTTACCCGTGCAAAGCCACGGCCGATCGCTAGTACCTAATAAAGAATCTTGGCCTTAACAAGTAATATATAATGGTGTCGATTCAAGCATAATTCTCTCAAGCTAAACTTAAATTTGAAACCTGTGTAACCTTCTCATTCTCTTTACAAAATAAAAAGGACAGACTGATGTTAAAATTTAGTTTTAAGTTTAGAGAATCCTGCCAGAATCGACACCAATATTCCAAATCAGTAAATCTAAAGAATAAAAAATACATGGCATCAGACACACCTGGGGGCCATTCGCCTAACAGAAATGCTTACGATTTCATTTTGGTATTTCTAGCCGCCTGAGGTTTCATGCCTCGCGCTCTTTTTTTTTCTTTTGCGTTCGTAATAACAATATTTAAAAAAATGAGCGTGAGGTATTTGAAAACCTTCGGCGGCCAGAAATAACAAAATAAAATCGAAAGCGTTAGCGTTTGACAAAGCATTTCCGTTAGGCGAATGGCCCCCTGCTACCGAGACCGTCATGGCGGTGTCGAATTTACAGTACAGTATTTTGAGGCTGCAAAGCAGTGCCATCACCTCGCATTGTAAGTATCCAAAAAACAATTAAAAAGAAACTCTTTTCCAGCTTTCCACGAAGCGGTAGCGAATGCTGCCAGCCTATCTGTTTACAACTTACAACATTTGCAGAGGCTGGGTCTGTACCAGAATAAGTAAGTACCATTTTCGAGTTGATAAATCTAATTTTCGCGAAAATGCTCAGAATTTTGCGTAAACACAGATGTAATTAGACAATGGTGTCGATTGTAGCATGATTCTCTAAACTTGAAACTAAATTTAAGATCCGTCTTTTCTTTTCATTCTGTACTGTACTAACTTTATCATCAATTAACATCAGGTGGAGTAGATTCACTCGCCTACCTGGCTATATATATATATAAAAAATACTCGAAAAAAAATTAAACTAACCACTAACTAATGCATCCAACCGGATTGCGGAATGGAATCCCGTCTGATGTCTGAACTACTGTTTGTGCCTGGACGGCGTAAAATTTTTCTAGTATTTTCTTTAGAATTATAAATGTAGCAGTTACATGCTCAACTAAAAATAAAAAATATAATACACCAAATGCCAATTGTTCCAGAACCCATGATCCTTACGAAGTGAGCATGAACTTCCTGATGAGTATGGCCTTGGAAAAAGTGGCTTACTTGCCCTTCGCTTTCATGGTGGATCAGGTGAGAATCATCTTCATCGTAAGCCTACTAGTAAGTACATAACTAAGTACGTGGGTTAGGTTAAACCCACGTACTTAGTTATGTACTTACATTTTATGTATGTAACTACAAATATGTTTGTGCGTGTGGAATGTTGCAACTTAATTTTACAGCAAATGTCTTCTACCGATTGCGCTGAAATTTTGTATACACGTTTAGTTTGGATGACAATGTATGGTTAGCTGTGTGACGTCTGTGTGATTCTAAGTCAAATATGGCGGAACCATATTTGAATCTATAGATAGATATTGATGTCTTCTATAAAACTTTAGTAGAGTCTGTGCGGAAAGAGAATGGGATTTAGATTGGAGGGCGCTGTAGTACGAAAATCACTACCGTATTTGTAAGGTTTTACCCCTTTACACATGATTAAATACAAAAAACCGCAAGAAATCACTACAACTAACAAATCCATATCAATACAAAACTTTGATCTTTTACAGATTGCTGGGTTTGATTGCCAAATAAAAATCTTAATGTTAGTTCCGTTTTTCGCCACGCGCATTCTCTTTCTGCACATACTCTATAATACTTTGCTCTATTGTCAATGGCTTCACAGCGTACGGGATATAAGGTTATTTTTGATATCTTTTTCATATGTTGGGTTATATTTTCGAAGTTTTCATACGGAACCCTAACTTTTTGAAACTACTCTTTAGCCTATGTTTTTTAGTGATTATGTAGGATTCTAAAAGTGAACGAATTTTTCAATCGACTTACAGCGATCAAGTGTGTAATAAAAATATTTTAATTTCACAGTGGCGTTGGTCCGTGTTCGAGGATGGAGTGGAGAATATGAATAATCGTTGGTGGCAAATGAAACTTAGGTATCAGGTGAGAATATTTTGTTCTTTAGGTAGACTTCTGTGGATCGCGGCCGATCGCCAGCAGCCAGCAGCCGCGCGTGATCATTCTACTATTCTATTACATAAGACACGGACTAAGGCCCGTATTATAGAAAGATTCTCAATGATTGATCTAGTATTGAGCATAACTAGAAAGGGATGTCGCTATATATAGCACATAGCGACATCCCTTTCTAACTGTACTCAAGTAAAGATCAACACTTAGTTGTCATTCTGAAATACGGGCCTAAGTCGAGGGCACCCACTAATAATTTATACTATTGTATCTAACTGAATCTGCATTAATAAAGTAATTTTCGAAACTTCGTGATCAGTCCATGAATGAAAGAATGACTTGTCGCTTTTAGTTAATTAGTTTTTTGTTTCCGACAGGGTGTAATACCACCGATGCCAAGGACCGAATCTGATTTCGATCCTGGCTCTAAATACCACGTTATTTCTGATCAGGTGAGTACTTTTAAAAACTCGATAGTCCTCTTATCCTTCTCCCAGGTCTGCGCAACGAATCTTCGAGTGGCTTTGGTACTAAATGCACTAAAATTTGAGTTCGAAATTTGAATTAGTTCTGTCGTAAAGAATTAGCGGGCTGCATGTAGACGATAGCTTGACCTGCGATGATTTAACACACACATAAAGAGGTTGTTCCAATATGTACATTTGAAGGAGCGTACTTAATTTAAAGTTCGAACGCAAATTAATTAAGCGCACGTTTAGTACCAAAGCCACCCGAAACTTCAACTCGCAGGTGTGGGATAAGCATGATAACCTCTCGCTCGTCTATCGCCACGAACCTTCGTCTAAGAACGCGATAAACGCAGATGTGTGAGAAGTCTATACCTGTTATCGTAACGAACTATCGGGTTGAGTGACGATAGACGATACACATAGCTTGACTGGCGGTTTTTTGTCATGCATCAAAGGAGTTTTAGGGGCGATAAATTTATGTGTACAGGTGAAGGAGCGTGCAACCACGCCTTTAGCGTAGAATTTGATGCTAATTTTAGCATAATAAGTAACTAAAGGGAAGTAGGTAATGAGAAATGTTGGCACGACCAACTGGATTGCTTAGTTCATACAAATCTTTGAGTTTTTGATATAAGCCTATTAATATCCCCACTGCTGTGGGTACAGGCCTTCCTCATGGATGAAATAAGGAAACGGGTCGTGACCCACCTCGTAGGCCCAGTTCGTAGGCCCAGTAGGTTTCTCGTTTTCTTTTCTTTTCTATTCTAATCTATTCTCGAGCAAAGCTCCTTCATGCTTCGAAAGGCACGTTAAGCCGTTGGTCCTGGTTGCATCTGCAGCCGTAAGCACCCACCAATCTGTATCGGGCCTGCGTGATGGATCATGGCCAATCTCCCTATTCCATCTATAGAGAAGGCCTGTGCCCCAGCAGTGGGGACATTGATAGGCTGATAATGATGATGATGATATTATAAAGAAATGAGTCATCAAATCCCTTTGTTCGCGTTGAAATAGCGGCCACTATCAATCGTTGGCCAACATAATGTTTATATAAAACGTTCATGCCGTATTTAATTTTGCCTCAGGAATACATAAAATACTTTCTGGCTACTATTCTGGAGTTCCAAATATTCGAGCACCTGTGTTTGGCGTCGGGACACACAGGTCATCTTCACGAATGCGATATTTACAGGAGCCGAGACGCAGGGAGACTTCTCAGGTAAGAAACCAAATATACCAAAGCATGTCACAGCAGACCGAATAGAAGTAAGAAAGCGGCCAAGTGCGATTCGGACTCTTTGGGGTTAGGCTAACATAATATATTAAAGTTCTTGTAGTTCGTTGTAACTTTGATCGATGTTTTAATAATAGTGTACTTTTTAAAAGTTAATTGTGGTTTACTATTTATGACGTATGAAAAAAAACTACTTACTAGATTTCTTTCAAACCACTTTTCGGTGGGTTTGCATGGTAATGTACATCATTTTTTTTTTTAGTTTTATCATTCTAATATTTTAGAAGTTATACACACATTTTATCACTTTGGAAGTGTCTCCGGCGCAAACTATTCAGTTTAGAAAAAAAAATGTTAGAAAACTCAATATCATTTTTGAACACCTATCCATAGCTCACACTTAAGGGTTTGATGAAAAAAAAATCTTGAGTTTTAGTTATAAGGAACCTCCGATTTTTGTTGTTTTTTTTTCTTATAGTTAGTAGAACAGTATAGTTCTTATAGTTTCCTAAAAAAGTTGCTGTGACATACGGACGGATAGACAGACAGACATTTATGGCGAATCCACAAGGGTTCCGCTTTTTGCCATATGGCTACGAAACCCTAAAAATTGTGAAGCACGAGTAGCGCCAATGTGGCTTTTTTAAAGGGTGGTAAAAAAGCATATGGCCCGTCTGATGGTAACCGGCCACCATAGCCTTTAAAAATATCACTCGCACCGTTGCCTACCCCGAGCTAATCCCCTACCCCGTGGAGCCCTGGAACCTTACTCACCGACAGAAACACAACACCATGAAAAGGTAGCGATATTTTATTGTGATCTTCTAAGTTACAGGTTACTTCCCCAGACCTGGCGGGTTCGCGGCCATTCGGAGACGGGTCCCGCGACCACACCTGCCCTCTCGGCACGCACTAGGGGGACCGCGGTCCTCATAGCGCATGTCGGGTGACAGTGCAGGAGTATTGTCTAGTTTTTAGTGGCCCTGTTCAGAGCGTAGGTGGGCCCCGTTTACTTCAGCGAGCTCCAGGGCTCGCTGAAGGGGACAGGGAGGAGTCGCACATACCTTATTCTCGCTCTCCCAGTGGTTGAAGGATGCGTAAGGCAAATCTCAGACACAAAAACAAAAAGGTTACTTCCCCAGACGGGAATTCCGCTATGTACTACGCCTCCTAATTGAGAAGAAGCTGAGGTGGTTTGGCGATGTAAAGATTGCCTGAGTACCGCTTGGGAAGAGTAGAACTCGAGATGCCAATGACTTCTGTGTTACACCTACTTAGCTAAATTTTCTTAATAGAATTTCTGTTCTTTTGTAGTGAAATCATGCAGCCGGGGGCATCAAAACCAGCTTCGGAGATAATCAGAACTATGACGAAAGGAAAGACTAATAAAATATCACCGGATTCGCTTGTCAGGTACCATTAGAAAGTATCAGAAGTGCACACTTCTATATAGCAAGACGAAATAGGACAACATCACACACTCACACACACACACAATAGTGTTATTGATAAAAACCGGACATATAAAGCTCCGCTTGCTCAAGGTTTTCAAGTAAATACCCAGTTATACATTTCAAATCACACGCAACCATCACTTAAGAACACTCATTCTCATAAACAAACACACATATATACACACATGCACATACATACACACACTCTCAAATACATACACAGAAACACTTTTTTTGTGAGTAAATGGTAAGATAAGGATTGCAATTTTTGCATTTACATGTATTGTGGAACACGTCTCTGTAACTGGAGGTGGGAGCTAATATTTCAACGCAGTTCTTTAGAACTTCTTAGTTTACTAAAATTAAATAAAAATATTTAAGTATTTCAAACACCAATTAGCCTAGCCCCAAAGTAAGCACTGTAAGGCTTGTGTTATAGGATACTAGGGTAACGGACAGAATACATATATTGTACTTATATATTTTTTTTTATATAGAAATACATATTAAACATTCATGACTGGAGTACAAATGTTCTTATTCATCACACAAACATTTGCCCCCACCGAGATTCGAACCCGGGACTCTTAAGTCGGCGACACCATGAAACTCGGCGTATAAACCACGGAGGTCGTCGAATTTTTTTATTTGATATGATTGAAAACATTTATCGAATAATTATGCATTAATTTTTTCAATAGTTTAATTTAATAGTTGATAAATATATTCAACAACACTACTCCTCACGTTCCCGATATAAAGGGTCTTGACAGACAGACGGACAACAAGGTGATCTTATAAGGGTTCCGTTTTTTCTTTTGCGATACGGAACCCTAAAAATAAGAATCATACTTACCAAAGAAACTTTATTGAGCTATTTTTTTGCTCCTACAAGACAAGACCCTATCTTTTATTAATTAAAACATGTACAGACAACTTAATTTAGATTTGAGAAGAAATTTTATAGATGCGTGTGGCTTTCGTAGCTGTCAAGTTAATAAATTACTTATCTTCTAACCATTCTAATATTATAAATTCGAAAGTACTGCCCGTCAGTCGGTCTACGTTTTAACATCTAAACTGCTAAATTGATAACATGAATAATGAGCAAAAGTATACTATTAGGAAAACACAGGAAATTATTTATATATTAATTATACTTTATTGCACAAATGAGTGTACAAGTGGCGGACTCGATCTTGTACTTTTAGTTGCGAAAATAAAACTTGGGAGTGATTTTTTTATAGAATATTGATAATACTGCACAACCGAAATTTCTTTTATTTATTACAAAGTATTATGCCGCAACTTCATTTGATCGTTAGCCCGTATTCGGGTGCACGAAAGACATTACTTGAATTCGGGCACCCGAAGCAATATTTACACTTGAATACGGCCTGGAAGTTTATGTCGGGTAAACAAAAGGAAATCTGTTCAGATACGGTTGTCGACTCCGTTCATTTACACTTAGTCGTTTACCGGAATTTTATTCGTACTTTTATTCGGACCAGCGACCAAGTGTAATTGCGCCTTTGTAGACGATGTTTTTATAGAAATAATAGTACTCGTTTGTACCATCTATAGGTACTAGGTTAGTACCCTGTACCCGTAGCACGAACCAATATTGAATTCGAATAGTTTGCGAGTCGAAAATGTCATTGTCTTAGTATCGCCGCACACGGGCCACACGCCACAGCCACAAACGCACTTCGAATCCTGTCTGATGCCTAGTCAGCGTGGACCTTTTTTTTTATAAATGTGAAATTCCGTATGTTTGTTTCTCAATCACGCAAAAACTACTGCACGGATTTGGATGAAATTTGGTGAGCATGTAGTGTATTACCTGGACTGAGACATAGGTTACTTTTTAATCCCTGAAAAATTACAGGGATTCTCAAAAGAACTAAAGTTGACACGAACGAATTTGCGCGCGACCGATAGTTCTTTAAATTGATTGATCTAGCAGTTAAATGCTGAACATAAAAAGAAGTAACAGACAATGGTGTCAATTCTGGCGTGATTCTCTAAACTTAAAACTAAATTTAATATCAGTCTCACCTTTTCATTTTGTATAGAGAAGGACAAGGATGCACTGTTGTCAAATTCAAGTTTAGCTTTAGAGAATTATGCCAGAATCGACATCAATGTTAATATAATTTTCTTGTCCACAGATACTTTCGTCCGTTAGAACTATGGTTGCGAGTGCAGAACCGCGACGAGCCTCTGATTGGCTGGAGCTCCAACTACCATGACGTGGCTCTGTTTGCGCCGCAGCGTGGCTCTGGCTCCAGTAATACGGCTCGAGTCGGCATCCTCGCGGCTCTGATTTGTTTGACGTTGTAATGAATGACCAATAAAGACCGTTCTATGTTTCAGTTTTTTATCTTTTATGAACACAATCCCTGTCCTGTGTTATTAAATAATAATAATTATTAATTACAAATTTGAGGACCGACTTTTTTTACTACCTCATAGAAATCGAAAAGAATTTTTGCATGACGGTTTTCTGATGTATTACAGTTATAAGTCTGCAACAAATTTTGACTTGCCTGTCTCACTCGCATTGCACATTCCGAGAGCAAACTCTCATATTAAAACTATAATAGTTTTAGTAATTGTAAAACTCGTACTAAGGGTACGGAACGTGTAGCATCCATAATCAAAGCTAAAAACTGTCCGCGTGTGTATATACTTATGCAGCCACATTTGATTCCTAATGAACAACTACAAAATCTTTCAAAACAGTTTTAAGTTCAACCTAATAACAATCATATCGCAAAGCCAACACAAAATCGCGCCCAAAAAGGTATTTTAGCGAATTAAATATAACTTGACTGAGTTGATTATTTTTTAATTGTTTGTGAGCGCAATAACGATTATTTAATCACGTTAACCAAATGTTCATTATTATGTAAGTAGCATACATTATCCCGCTCGCAACTGATTTAGTTTTGATTAGCTCAAAAATGTACCCATTAATTATTTTAGAGTCTGTTCGGAAAGAGAATGGGCGTGGCGAAAAACGAAACTAACATTAAGATTTTTATTTGGTAATCAAACCCAGCATTCTGTAAAACGTTAAACTTTTGTATTGATACGGATTTTTTTTTAGTGATTTCTTGCGGTTTTTTGTATTTAATCATGTCTAAAAGGGGTAAAACCTTACAAACACAGCGCCCTCCAATCTAAATCCCATTCTCTTTCCGTACAGACTTTACGTGTAATTTCAACGAAATTGTTGGATTGTAAAAATAATGTAAGAAATGACAGCTGTAGAGGCAAGGGCGGCAAAAATTGCCCATACCTTGAAAATTTGTACAGCAACTGCTTTACCTATCTCTTTTCTAAGTTAACCTCAAAGTTTATTTGTTTTACAGCGCCAAGGGACCGCAAATTTGAATATATGATAGTTTCAGCTCTACCTACAAGCGTTCCCGAGATATTGGATCTTGACTGACAAACAGTTAGACGGCCTTTTTTATTTACACCCCAGCAGATTTTTATTTTTATAGGTAGATATCTCATAAGGAAGCCCAAAACAACTTAAAAAACGAATGAACGAATTATCTAACGTCAATTTAAAAACATCGAAACAATGAAGTTGATCTTGATAATTTTTTCGTGTACAGTAAGGGTTAAGATACACTGATGCAGAGTCGATTCAAAGCGAAGTATCAGTAGCTTTTTCATGCTCATAAGTGCAGACGAGGGGCTTTTTTCATGGCATTTTCTGTCTCCGAAAAAATAAAAGTCATGTGACTATGACGCAGCAAAGCACACAGAGATGTTCAGTCCGCGTTGCATGCTCGATACGATTTAAAGAGATGGACTAGCGTTGCCAGACGAACCGATTTTGGTGGGACGTCCCGATTTTTAAAACAAAATTAAATGTCCCGTGTGGGACAGGAACAATCCCACTTTTAGGGAATAACTCAAACTCTTTTTAACGATAGAGTAAATCTGATTTAAAATATCACATTTTTATTAAAATACATTTTCTATGGATATTTTTACTGAGTACCTATCTATTGTCACGTAAACGTAATTTGAACTCAACTAAAAAGATAAATATTCAAAAACTTTTGATTATATAAGTTTTTTAGGGTTCCGTACCTCAAAAGGAAAAACGGAACCCTTATAGGATCACTTTGTTGTCCGTCTGTCCGTCCGTCCGTCTGTCAAGACCCTTTTTCTCAGGAACGCGTGGAGGTATGAAGCTGAAATTTATATCAATTACTCAGGTCTACTGTCCCTTGAAGCTGTGAAAAAATCAAACTTCTAAGCCAACGCAATCAAAAGATACAGCCGTTTATGCCGCAAATTTTCGACACTTGCAAGGGAATCAAAACCTACAGGGTGCTTCCCGTGAACTCAGAATCTTGAAATTTGGTACCAAGCAACGTCTTATAGCATAGATAAAGGAAAAATTACGAAAGCCATAAATTTTTAGTTACATCACATAATATATTTTTTTTTAATAATTTTAACCTTACTACCCATTTCCTCATAAACGCGTAGAGGTATTAAATTGAAATTCATACCAAATACTCAGGTCTATAATACCTTTAAGCTGTAACAAAATCAAACTTCTATGTCAACGCAATCAAAAGAAACAGCAATTTAAGCTGCATATTTTGAAACTCGCAAGTACTCACAAGGGAATCAAAACCTAAAGGGTACTTCCAGTCGACCTAGAATCTTGAAATTTGGCATGAAGCAACGTTTTATAGCACACATAAAAGAAAAATTCCGAAAACCTTAAATTTTTAGTTACATTACAAAATATATATTTTTTAATAAATATAAACATACCATAGTTATGACTCGATTGTCGTAATGAACGAACTTTGTAAACCTTGCAGGTTTGTACGGAACCCTCGGTGCGCGAGTCCGACTCGCACTTGGCCGGTTTTTTTTTTACTATGTCCCGCTTTTGACGAAAGAATCCCACTTTTTTCACTCAAAATGTCCCTAAATCCCGACTTGGCAAAAAAAACTGGCAACGCTGAGATGGTCCCAGGATTCCCTTGAAATTTAGTACGTAGCGTGCCCTTCTCTTAATTTTCTCGCCACAAATGTTCGCACATCGTTGAGTCCGTGACAAGTTCTCGGCAGACTTTTTTTCATGATTCAGGGACTTTAGTTCACGGAGGACAAAAGTCCCTCATCTGCTCAAGCCATTAAGGAGCATGTAATGAGAACATTCGGAACATGTAACGTTTTTATTGCAGCGCGATTTAATTGGAGTTCTCTCTTTACTTTCGATTTCGATTGAAAGTGCGCGCTTTTTTATCTCGATAGAAATGTTATAATATTACTTTGTGGTGGGTTGAAAGGTTAAGTAACTTTTGACGTGATAAAGTCTAATAAATCGATGACCACCGGCTACACGCACGGAAAAGTGTCACGTTCCGCCTGATCCTGCGCGTGCAAGCGAGAGTGCGGAATAAGCGATAGAGAGGCACGATCGGCCTAAGCGTCGGCTTGTACACATTTATCTCTCTTCTTACGTGACGTCAGAGCTGGCAATTATGCAATTTTTCATCAATGTTTCTTTATGACGTTATCACGTAAAACTATCGCCCGTAAACCGACTTTACAGACAACCAATTTTTATTTTATCTAGCTTCCGTCCACAACTCATCCAATTGTAGTTCATTTTTCGAGAACCACAACAAACATATATTATTTGTAATTAAAGTTGACTACACGAATTATGTCATGTTGAAGTAATTTTTCAATTCGACGACTCAATATATTATACTGGAGAGAAAAACAGCCCTTGCTGAGTTCCTTGCTGGTTCTTCTCAGTACAAGGTGTCCCGACATAGATTTGGGAACCTTTTCGACATTCACAAGTGCTTGTAACAGCAGCCTAGACTGAATAAACGAACGATATTGAATATGAATTTCGAAAAGAATCAAGATCAAGTTTGCAGTTTATTGCCCATCCAAACAATGAAGTTAATTTTTTCCTTCATCCTTTCTCTTTCCTTCCCTAGATATATCTGTTTTCCTGTCATTGCTATTATTATTATTTACTGTTACACCGCTCCTTTACATTTATTTATCTCCCTATTATGGGTTGTCTGGAACAGATTGATGCCTAGCAATAAGGCCGCCTATATTGTGTACGTTCTGTCTATCATGTTTTTAATTTACTTGTGTGTCTTGTATGGTGAATTACAATAAAGTAATTCAAATTATAATTTGAATTTGAACACAGAAACCTAGCAATTTTTTCTAGGCAATAATGTATTCATTCTTATTTGTGCCAAGTGTCATCTCAACCTTTAATGCGTGATTTTGTAACAAATATACAAACTGTCACATTCATAATGTACGATTTAGTGTTATTGACGCGCGTCAGTGTGACTTGACCTTAACATTCAAACTACTTTCTCGCAGGTTTATCGTAGGATGAGTAAAAAAACCGGTCAAATAAGAGTTCGACTCGCGCGGATAAGGTTCCGTTTGCAGAAATTATATTATATTTTTAAACCTAATTCAAATTCGTTTGTGGTAACCGTAGATAGAATAGTCGACTATAAACTGATATATACTCACTTAGTACGTACTTAAAGAAATCCAGTTTATAATGTACGCGAAAGGAAAAAAACAGACATAGGTACTATAAACTTCTTATAGGCTTTTTCTGCGAGTTCCTTCGTCTAAGGGTTTTCCTGTAAGCTGTAAGCTACAAGCAAAGAGCTAAATTCCATATTTTTGAAGTGAAAACTTCTTTAGCGGCGTTGTACACTTTTTTGTATGGGTAAAAAATGTTTAACTCGCGTCAGATTAAACACGTGGGCTGATCGCATCATGGCACACAATAAAATTGGAAAGGTTGTTTACTTTCAATGTATTGGACGAAACATAGTAATATTTTATTTTACCGTATTATAATAATAATTCTCTATGTAGGACGCCCACGTGGCAGCTTAATTGCGAAGAAAATGCATTTTTTTATAATAGACGTCGCTAGATGCGCTTAAATGTGATTCATGTAAGTTGATTTCTTTACAATAGATGTCGCTAAGTGCACTTAAACGTGATTCATGTAAGTTGATTTTTCTGAGAGATAAACTTTTTTAATGTAATATAAATTGTCATGTTTGTGTACGATAACGCAATAAATAAATATTGTATTCTACCACATACATGATAGTACTTTTATACTGATAATTAAAGCAATTCGTGCAAAATTATTCCCTAACCATTCCAAAATATCAAAAATGCACAACGTGAATAAATTTTCACTTCTGGCGGCACTTCCGGAGTGCAACCCGTCGTTTTTTTTTTTTACAATAAAAAACTAATTACGCTTGATCAACTACGCTGACCGTTGTCTCGCAAACTTTATTTCATAACGAATTTTTAAAAAAAACTCCAAAAAGGACTTATTTCGGCGGTTTAC